AAAGCCGGTTCTGTAATCAGCGGTAAATCTCCATCACGTGCGTGGTTTCACATTGAGCAGCATTAACTACACAGAGCCGTTGTTCATTGATGAGCTGCGCAAAAAATCGCACGGATATGAACGTGGTTTTGCGCAGCTCATCAGTGAACAATGATTTATTGTGCAGCCCTAATATATATATATATACGGATATGAACGTGGTTTTGCGCAGCTCGTCAGTGAACAATGATTTATTGTGCAGCCCTAATATATATATATATATATAAACATCTGACGCCAAACCTTTCAACAGTACTGTGTTTACATTTATTAATAATACTAACCAAAGCAAACCATTTCCATCATGTTCTTTGGTATACCATGTAATTCATGGTATATTAGTATCGTAATATTTTAGAACAATATTATATATCACAGAACGGTGTGGAATTTCCTTCTCATACCAACACAGTGTCATGGTCCCATGACAATATTTTTTATAAGCTAAAACTATCTGTCTTATGAGTAGATATATTTCTTTTAGCTATAGGTTACAAAAAAGTCTGCCTACGTTACTCCACTTTATATGACCTGAGTGCTAATCTCCCCATTCATAATATTGATGTCAGTTTAAGCCACAGCTGGCTGTAATGGAGGAATTATGACATTCTTTAGTAACAACAAAATCCAGCTAAAGTCTAGAGCTCACCAGTACTCCTCTCCTCCAGTCATACATTTCTCATAGACAGGGCCATCTAGCTCACGTGGGCTGGGGAAGATGACCTCGTGGTGGACGATGATGGTCTTGATGACCTCATTTACATGAGCCTGACAGGCCACAGGGTCCTGACCATCCGGGATGGGCATCAGAGTGGGTCCAAAACAGATGGCAAGGTTATATGAGTCCATCATGTTCTCATCACTGTACTGGGACAGACTAGAGATGAAGAGACAGTAAAAAAGTTCTTAAAGGTGGTGCAATGCTGCGGGAATTATAAACTTTCAAAAACTTTATCTCTTGCTCCAGCTGTCTATTTCAATATATTAATTCATAACTTTGTCCCAGAGAATTCATCTTCATGTACAGTGTATTATCTTTCAGCTCATCTCTCATTGGGAAGTCTCTTGACTGCAGAAGTGAAGTTCAAATGAGTCAGAGCTGCGAGCACCGAGAACAAATGAAAGGGGGAAGGAAGTCAGAGGGAAAACTCATGATGTGAAATCAAATTCTTTGTTCGGTCTGGGAGAGGGTGAGAACAGGAAGCATCAATAAAGAACCAGGAGAACAGGACAGGTATAGCACAGTACAGACTGATGGGTTTCTTCTAGCGTAAATATCCTCTAAAGCACTCCTTGACAGACGTGGTCATAAATTAAACAAGAATAGTGGGGGCTGTTGAATAGCTCTTTGTAAATATAATGAATGTCTTTGCTTGTGACTGCTGCTATTCATATAAATGGTGATTTACTAGGAGATTTACAGTCTGAAGACAGAGATGCTGGGAAGGCAGAGTGGTAAAATTACAGATTAGACTCCCACTTTTGAACATGTCTCGTGTGTGTGACTGCAGGTCAACTAGTTTAAAGTATGCCACAAAAAACAGTTGGTGAAATACAAAACTTACTGATTTAGAAAAGCAAACAGGTATCGCATGACAATGATGATGGTACGAGGAAGGGTGACGATGATCTGCTGGATGTGGTGGGCTCTTTCCGCAGATGATTCAAGCTCTGAAACAAGAAATCGACAAATAAACATAAAATTTAAATGTACATTCAAAATGTACACAACTGTTGGTAAGACTGATTTGTGCTTTTGAAAGAAGACTCAACAAAGCTCAAAAATACAGTAAAAACAGATTCAATTTTGAAATATTTTTTTACAATTTAAAGTAACGGTTTTCTATTTAAATATATACTAGAATGTAATTTATTCCTTTGATGACAATGCTGAATTTTCAGTAGCCATTACTCCAGTCTTCAGTGTTACATAATCCTTCAGAAATCATATTGATATGCTGATTTGGTGCTCAGAAAACATTTCTGATTATTAATGTTGAAAACAGTTGTGCTGCTTATTTTTTAAAAACCATGAAGCTTTTTTTTCAAGATTCTTTGATTAAGTTCAAACAAATTTTATTTATTTGAAGCCAATGTTCTGTAACACTAGAAATGTCTTTACTGTAATGTTTAAACATTTTGAATGCATTCATGCTGAATAAAAACATTAATTAAAAAATATTAAATCAACATGAATGTTTACTTGCTTTTGAATGCTTTACTTTACTTTACGTTCCCTTGCCAGACATTTTTTCCCAAAAACAAAATATGTGACCCTGGACAACAAAACCAGTCTTAAAGGGGTCATATGATGCTTTTTTAAAGATAATTATTTTGTGTATTTGGTGTAACAGAATATGTTGACACGCTTTAATGTTCAAAAAACACATTATTTTTCAAATACTGTACATTATTGTATGTCCTCTATGCCCCGCCTCTCTCAAATGCTTCATTTTCAACAAAGTCCCTCCTTTGACAAGCGCAGTCTGCTCTGATTGGCCAGCTGACCCAGTGCATTGTGATTGGCTGAACACCGCAAGCATCGTCGGAAATGTAACGCCCCTTACCATAATCGCAAGCTTAATCTTTCAAAATAAATGCAAAGACAGAGCCCGAAAGGGGAACAGAGTCGCGTGACAGACACAGTGATGAAGCTAGTAGTAGTAGTCTTAACTTTAATAAAGAATATCTCTTTGGTTTTGAGACTTTAGTCTTTGCAACTTCAGGGATCTTATCTATGCACAATCAGCTTGTAACACTCCAAAGAGAAAGGAAAACTTGAAGTCGCATCATATGACCCCTTTAAGTGTCAATTTTTCAAAATTGCTGAATAAATAAGCTTTCCATTGATGCATGGTTTGTTAGGATAGAACAGTATTTGGCCGAGATACAACTATTTGAAAATCTGGAATCTGAGGATGCAAAAAAAATCTAAACATTGAGAAAATCGCCTTTAAAGTTGTCCAAATGAAGTCCTAAACAATGCATATTACTAATCAAAAATTTAATTTTGATATATTTATAGTAGGAAATGTACAAAATATCTTCATGGAACATGATCTTTACTTAATATACTAATGATTTTTGGCATAAAAGAAAAATCTATCATTTTGACCCATACAATGTATTTTTGGCTATTGCTACAAATATACACCAGCGACTTAAGACTGGTTTTGTGGTCCAGGGTCACATATAAGAAACTGACAAATTGCTTTGTACTGTAAAATTGCTAAGATAAAGCCAAGCACCAGCAGAAACATTCAAAAAATAACAGCAATCTATGGAGTAATATCAGGTTTAATCACTCCAGTGACATTTTTGACCTATCCTGCAGCTGAATGAAACACTCACTGATGGTGGAGATCAAATCCAGGAAGCGCTCCTTGGGGAAAAGAGGGTTCTCCAGCCCTCTGAAATACAGCTTGAGAACACCAGCCACAGAGTTGATGTCATGATCGCTCTGATCATCAACCAGTGGGTCCTCACCTGAAATAAATGATGGAAAAATAGTGATTATAGGAGAAAAAATACACACATTCCTAATATATAATAATACATTTTAAGTAAAGTAAGTAATAACACAATTAAATTAAGGGTCTACAAAAGAGGGATTTGTCTCTTTATAAGCGTAATAAAAACACAAATTTAAGCACTAGCAGGCAACTTAATATACTTAATTTTTGGACGCCAATGATTCAATTACCTGTGACACAATAACAAGGTTGCACATTAAAACAGTTATTTATCAACAACACTGCTGTATAACACCTAATGACTAATAGTCTTATGGTATCATTTGTTTCGTTTATCTTGCATCCCTCTTGTAGCTGAAATATGTGCTCATCCTCCATATCTGATTAATTGAGAAACTTAAAAAGACATGACGACAATTCCAGTAAAAGATTATCTGACCAGTTACTCTGGCTGTCCAATCCCTGTATTACTATTTTCAGAATTTGCTATTTGAATGTACTAAACGATTTTCTGTTATCATTATTATTCTTTTTTATTTTCTAGGTAGTAAATGTTTCAGTGCAAATGGAATGATTTTGACGATGGAATAGCCTTAGAAATGGCTTATATAATTTGATACATCATTTGTCAATATCAAAATCAGGCAGATGATTGTTTATATCTGCAAACATGAGCTACATGTAGAATCAATTTGTTTCACAGGAAAGCTTTTCTAAATTGAAATCCTGCCACTAAATTTAATTTCCTGATGTTACTTTCAACCTCTGCTCAGCAATGATGATCTGATGTGCGGAAGAAACATATTCACAGTTTGGAAAGTACATAAACAAAAGTAACTGAAAAATAATTACAGTTCATCTCTAGGGGCCTAACCTCTTTCAAATGAATTTTTAATATCGTTGACTTCCACCTGAGATCCAGGAACTCGGAATATGCCTTGTTGCTGCAGCCCTGGCACAGGAAAATAAAAAGAAACACGAGTCGAAAACTTGTCAAGGCATGATATTGCATTATTTCCAGCTCAAAACAAGATGCGCACAGGAGGAAATGCAGCATTTCTCTCTAAGGGGGCCTTTATTTTTGGCACATATGAGTTTTGCCAAAGAAGTTCCAATCATTTTCAAGATTTCATTGGATCCTGAGGGAACGCCTGTGATCTTAAAGCAATAATCTCAAAGAAAGAGTAGATTAGGTTCTAGTTAACGATCTTTGAGCCAGCAGAGAGAATAGAGTTTATAGCATTATTATTTTCTGCCTTGACATCTATAAAAATGTATAGTCTCTAGCAGAACAATAAATCATCAATCCACTGCATACTTAGCAGCGAAACCGATGTCATTCTCTAAATTCAGCTTTACCCTGACAGATGGACTTTATATGGAACTATTTCCAAAGTATCACGGGATCACTTAACTTACAACAGATGAGTCCTTATTCAAATTAGCATCTGTGTCTCTTTCTGGTTGAGTATGTCGAGTGCTCTCTCTGAATTATATTTTTGGAGCTCTCTAATGGTTTCCAGTAGCTCCCGAGTCAGCATGTTTATCTGCAATCGATTAGTGACCTTTCCTTGAACCGCTTACCATATAGATTAATGTATCGAATACAGCTCTCCACCACCAGAGGAATGGGTTGACCTGAGTCCTGAAAGACAACAATCATTACAAAATGGCACCAGTTTTAAAGCTGTGGCTGAGATTTAAAGGGACAGTTCACCAAAAGAATGACAATTCTGCTTGACCAAACCTGACTTTCTTCTTCCGGGGAACAAAAAAGGATATATTTTGAAGAAGAAAAACAAAATTGGACTCAATTAACTTTAATCATATGGACAAAGACCATTTAAAAAATATATATTTTGGATTCTGCAAAAGAAAGTAAGTCATACATGTTTGGAGCATCATTAGGGCAAGAAAATGATTACAGAATCGTCGTTTTCAGGTGATCTGTCCCTTTAAAGGTGCACCTGCTCCTTTTTCCCCTCATTAAAATGTAAACAAAAAATACAAAAAATAGTATGAAATTATAAAATAGTATACAATCATGTTTAATATCATGTACAATCCTAATAAATCTAATAAAACCTGTTGTATCTAACATGGAGCTGGTCACATCCATGCTGAGATCACATGACCAGCTAAAAATGACTTGCTTTATCTCTGTAATCCATATTATTGGACATGTTTTCTTGTGGAATATGAATATGAAGAATTAAACCAGCTTTTTCTAGGCCACTGCTGTGACTGGAGTTTTATCTCTTGTGAGTATATATTATTTTAATTTTATTGTATAACTAAACAAATATTTGTGTATCATTAGGTGCAAAACTTTTTTTAAATGGGAAAAACTGCTTGGTGCACCTTTAAGTAACAATTTTCTAAATGCTTTAAAAACAGGGAATATATACACAAAACAAAACAAGAATAATACGTTTGTTTAAATTGTTTTAGTAGAAAATAAAGCAGAGCATTAAAGGGATAATTCACCCAAAAATGAAAATTTTGTCATTAATTACTCACATGTTGTTCCAAACCCGTAAGACCTCCGTTCATCTTCGGAACACAAATTAAGATATTTTTGTTGGAATCTGAGAGCTCTCTCACCCTCCCATTGACAGCAAGGGTCCTTACACGATCAAAATCCAGAAACGTAGCGAGGACATCGGTAAAATAATCCATGTGACATCAGGGGTTCAACCGTAATTTTACGAAGATACGAGGATACTTTTTGTGCGCAAAGGGAAAAAAAAAAGACTTTATTCAACAATTGCTTCTCCTCCGCGTCACCCTAGCACCATTTTGGAGAGTATCCACTGAACCTAAATTGCATATGCTGTTTTGTGTCAGCTGCGCCACGCGGATACACTGTTTACGTCGTTTACGCTTTGATTTGAATGAAAACAACGTATCCGCGTGGCGCAGCTGACACAAAACAGCATATGCAATTTAGGTTCATAAAATTACGGTTGAACCCCTGATGTCACATGGATTATTTTACCGATGTCCTTTCTACGTTGCTGGACCTTGATCGTGTAAGGACCCTTGCTGTCTATGGGAGGGTCAGAGAGCTCTCAGATTCCATCAAAAATATCTTAATTTGTGTTCCGAAGATGAACGGAGGTCTAACGGGTGAGTAAATAATGACAGAATTTTCATTTTTGGGTGAACTATCCCTTTAAGCATGTCTGTCCTCAAGGGCATAATAGAAAAAGAAAAAAAAAATTAATGTTCAGCCAAGGCTGCTAGTAGCAACTCATCCGAAGTTCGCTACAGAAAGCTCTTGTGGAAAGCAGCAATGACATGTCATTTGTCTAAGCAAATGTATTACAGCCTTATCTGAAAGGTAAAGACAGTCCATGCCTGGCCCTATTCTACAGTACCTGATTGCGGGTACGAGCATTCCGTCTTCCCCTACGACACAAAGCAGCATAGAGCAGAGCAGAGGAGTGAAAGAGGTGAGAAAATCACAGTTAGAGAGGAAGGGACGACAGAATCACCATGAAGATGACAGTGTCGTGGTGGTGACTGGGTGGAATAGCATTAGGGCGGCTGCTGGAATGGCTTGAGATGCAGTAAAGGGAAGCATGTGGAGAATGTGATACCCTTCATTTAATTTTCTCTGCAATTTCTGTCTTTTTAAACAAAATACTTTAAATCTAAGTGGTAATCGACCACTTGATTGCATAAATTAAGCATTGAGGCAGTTCCTCACAAACTAATGGGCCCTGCTGAGTCTTTATTTAGGCAGAAGGGCATCAGCTGCCACCCTTATCATCTGCATCATCACCACCTGGCGAAAGACGGGAAATTAACAGAAGCAAATAGAGGGTGTGAGCGCATGAGTCAGTGAGGAAAAAACAGACAGAGCTTCAGCCATCCCTCCAGCCCATCAGGGGGCGCTGTTAGCACCAAAGTCAGTGGGTACCTTAATGAAACTCTCCATATTGCCATTAAACAGCTTATGGTTATAGATGGAACGAGGCCTTGGTTTCCGCAATTTCTGTGGTTTCGGGGGAAGGGTTGGGGGTCTGAGGAATGGAGATTGTTAGATGGAACAAAAAACATACACAAAACACCCTCTGAATGACATATTATATCAAAAACCTTAAAGGATTAGTTCACCCAAAAATGAAAATTCTGTCATTAATTACTCACCCTCGTGTTGTTCCAAACCAGTAAGACCTTCGTTCATCTTTGGAACACAATTTAAGATATTTTTGATGAAATATGAGGGCTCTCTGACCCTCCCATAGACAGCAAGGTAACTACCATGTTCAAGGTCCAGAAAAGTACCAAGATGATCGACAAAGTAGTCCGTGTGTATTCTCATAGCTTCGTAACTTTGTCTTTTTGTCAAGAATACTTTGTTGTTACGAAGCTACGAGAATACATCTTGGTCGATCATCTTGGTACTTTTCTGGACCTTGAACGTGGTACTTTCCTTGCTGTCTATGGGAGGGTCAGAGATCCCTCAGATTTAATCAAAAATATCTTAAATTGTGTTCCGAAGATGAACGAAGGTCTTACGGGTTTGGAACAACACAAGGGTGAGTAATTAATGACAGAATTTTCATTTTTGGGTGAACTAACCCTTTAAAACTTACACAGCAAACCCTTTCCCATCTACTCAACTCTTACTTATGTCTCAGCGGAGGAAACAGCCGATAATGAGGGGTTTAAATAAGCAACAGGCATTAATTGTTGTTCTTTAAAAGATCGTAATTACATCCTAATGCTTTTGACCTGAAATTATCCAAAAACAACTGCAGGGAGTTTTCTACTCCCTATAGGAGCACTGAATCAGGCCCTTATTGAAACATTTAGCTATGGAAACATAATTGCTCTTGTGACAGACCGGTAAATGCAATCAAAATCAAACATGACATGGCTCTGTACTTTGGTGGTTACATGAGGGCACAAGCACAAGCTGTTGTTTATATTTGCTGATTAATCATTAACAGATATTAGTTGGATGTTTTCAAGAAAATTGTATAGATATTTTGTCATAGGGCTTGAACAAATACCATTTCTCTTTACTATTTGGGCCTTAAACATATTCTATGCAACTACGTGAATGAAAATGCTTCTAGCTACACTAGAATAATTTAATATCGGAGTACCAACATATGCATTGGTGACGTGTTCACAACTGTTTCATTTTAAATTTTAAATAAAGAGCATATGATTATCAATGGCATCACTGGTAGATGTCCTCCAACTGAGAGGTCAGAAGAGGCCTGCATCTGTTTACCAGGAAGGCTCTATTCTCAGCATTCTCCGACTGTCAGAGGACATTCTGGATAACCCAGCATGAGCTGAGCCCCTGCCAGTGACAGCTAGAGGACAAGTCCCCTTTTGACCGTCATGCAAAATCAAAAAAGTTTTATTTGTCCTCTCTTGCATTTACCCTGGCCTGTTAAGTGATTTAGAGGTTGTTTTAGCAGCTGAACATGCAGAAAATGGAGAGGAAATCATCTCTTTTTAGCCACAACAATGATTTGCGACTGTGGTAAAATAACTTTTCCATTAAAAACAATAATCATGGATATGGATAATGAATAATGAATATGGATGAGAGGTATAACGCAGACTGAATCTTATTCTTTAATGACTCAATGGCTTAACAAGTGCAGTTTTCTTTAGAGATAATTCAATTGGACAAAAATCTTGAGAGACTGAGGTAAACGTATATCTTCACTCTTTAAAATAAATGTTTCAAAAGGGTGTTTTCACAGCTATACAATCTTAACTTTTGAAGGTTCCAAAAGGGGGGTTTCAAAGTGATGTCACATACTGTAAGGGGCCGTTTACACGACGTTTTCAGCCAAAAACTTTTTATGCGTTTTGCCTGTTCATTTACAAGACAATGGCGTTTTGGGGACTGAAAACGCTTATTTTTGAAAACGGGTTTCAAAGTGCAAGTTTTTGAAAATGCCACCATTGTCGTTTCCGTGTAAACACCCAATACGGGAATCTTTGAAAACGGTGATGTCATGCGCGTGCGTAGTACGTGTTAGGTCTGTAGACATGCGCAGTACGTGTCGATTTTAAAGGCAAGTGCGAACAAACATACACAACAATGGCGGAGTACATGGTACTGTTGTTGCTGCTCAAGAGTTTGCTAACGTTTCTTCAGCAAAGTGGGGATTTACTTCACCAATATTACAACCAACAGCGGAGACGCATCATATACATCATATAATCCTCACTTCCCTACAGGTACTGTTTACTAACAAGGTGACAGCGCCAACTACTGGCCTGGCATACGTAATTCAGCGGTTTTGTTCAGCGGTTTTTCACATTTACACGGATATGTGTTGAAAATCGTTTTGAAAACATTGTCGTGTATACGTGAAACTTTTTTAAAACGCAAGGGAAAAACGTATACGTTTTTGACTACATCGTTGTCGTGTAAACGTAGCCTAAGAACCATTCTGGGACCAGGGTTGGGAACCACTGATCTACGGAACCATTTACTGTTAGGGTATTTATGCAATGGAAAGGTTCAATGGAGGGTAAAGTTTCTTCATGGAACCACAGGAGTTTTGATTTTGAAAATGTGAATTTCATCATCAGCAGAACTTTCTTACCTTGTAGTTCCACAATCAGCTCTTTCTCCTAAAAAAGAGAGTGGAAAGAGGGAGGAGTTAGAAATGTCATTATTAGCATGATCTCATGCGCTGGGTTCTAAAGCTCAGTCAGAGCGTACTGAGGGCTATCGTGAGAGTGGCCAGTGCTATTGAAGATGAGATGAATGGGTGAGCAGCCACATAGTGCTTGAGACAAAGAGGAGCACTGGTCACCGTAGAAACCTCGGAAAGGGCCCTGTGGGGTGTCAGACGGTCACAGAAGGAACTAAAGGGGCTAAATGACCGAGTGTGTGTGTGTTTGTATTTGTGGGTATGAGGGTGTGTAAAAGTGGGTGTGCATCAAGGGATTCATTTCACACTGGTGACACTGAGCGATGTCTGTGATGGCTCACTAGGTTCTTTGTCCCAATGTCCAGTGCACTGAAAAGGGTTCCTCGGTATCGCCATCATTCAAACAAACAATGAAAATATACACATGCCCACAAACAAATACAAACAGAATGGTCAAAAAAGAAAAATGATAATGCAAGAATGTTTCCAAATTCAAATGTCAGTTTCAGTTTTCAATTTTAAATTAAATAGCAATAATAATAATTGATAAAAAAAGGATAAAATACTCAGGAGTGACAATAATGCAAGAATTAAACAATCAAACTACTTAAATGTTAGTTTCAGATTCCCATTTAAAAAATTTAAAAATAAAATAAAATATATTTGTGTTTTCTTAGATTTGTTGTTGGGTTGATGCCAGGATGTTGCTAAGGTGTAAACAACTGGGTGGTTGTTAAGTATTTGCTATTTTTGCCATATCATATCTCTATCACACTGTAGTGCCTAGACAAGGCTTGTCAGTATAGGATTTAGTTTTTTTGTTTTTATTATAGCTTGTGAAATCTGACTACTGAAAATATGAAAGCACACATCTGCTCAACAAGCTCCACAATTCATGTCAACCAATTATTGTGGAAATCCAAAAATAATAGTGATGCTAAGCACACAATTTTTTTAAAAAGCATATAAAACTAATGCAATAAAAATAATTCTGTTGAAAAAGAAGAAAAAATGACAAAAAAGTCCCCAAATTATCTCTAGAGCACCTGCCCATAATGCAGACCAAGTTTTTCCAATTCTGAATCGCCATGTAATGATGTGGAACCACTAATGTTTCTACATGGGTACTTCAGAGATGTGAAGTGGGCCCTCAAATCACTTCATTTCACTAAATCTGCATATCAAATGGGGTGGTTCCCATGTGCCTTTGCTATGCCCTCTAAAATCATTCCAAAAACTGAAAGGCTTTGTCTTGCCAGCTGAGGAGTTAAAAAAAGACTCAAATCCTTTCCAACTATGCTTCTGGATAGTGGTTTGGGAGGATCTGGTTTACACACAGAACATTTGCAAATCGAGACAGTTATTCTTCCACATTACTCATTTAAATAAGCATCAGCATTTAAGCCAGGTGGCTGGTGACATGGCAACCCTTGATAACATTAATAGAGAGAATTAGATGTGCTGAGCTAATTGGCTTAATGGATGGAGGATCAATTAGGTGAATAATTTAAAAACATGGGCGGTACCTGCTGCAACCATATGTGACAAACTCATGTATATGCACTAACGCACACACCTTGGCTAGCCTCGAGTGTCTGGTTTTACTGAGCCGACAAGGGGAAATGTAATTGAGCACACAGAAGAGGGCAGGACTGGTCAGCGATCATATACGTGGATGGCTGGACTCAGCTGGGGCGTCCCACAGTGTGTCGTCATTAGATTATGAGCTGCCGCAAAGGCAGCTGCCGAAATTCGAAGTGACAAGAGGCCTTATGGGAGATGCGGCCATGAAAGCAGGGTCTTTCTAATCATCTGACAACAAAAGGCCTTATACTTACAGGAATATTCAAGGTAAATTTCAACTAAATGTCTATGGATGGCATCTGTGTCCCTCAGTTGGTTAAAACAAAGCATGTTCACACTAATACATGTAGAATGGCAGCCTAGCTTTTGCGTTTTGTTAAATCACTTAAATGGATTATTTATACCCCAAAACAGTCATAGCTTAACAACATTTCAGTCTTTCTTCAGGCATTTGTTTCAAAAAGGTCTTTGACTACAACATTATTATTTGCCTGAAGAAAATTTTTGCCATTATCTAGAAAGTCTACAAAATCTACAACAGTCTGTGGGACTTTTTTCACAGTATTAGCTGTGTCGGTACAATTCAAAAGTAACTGGGTTTATGTTTTAGCTAGTTGTGATATCAATTGAAAGATTGGACATAACTTTGCACAGAAGGCTTAGTAAGCAATCATACTTATTACATTAACACGTGTAAAAGTTTGTGTTACGGTCATATTTTAAATGTTTAATCCCCATTTGTATTAACAAACTGAAGGATAACTCAAAAATATCGTCTATGGTAATTCACAGTGTAATATAGATGTGGAACATACTGTAAACTTTAGGCTGAAAATGACCCTCTATATTGCTTAAACTTAGTTTAAAGCTCTATACCCATAGATAGATGAGAGTGAAAATCTGGGATTTTTTTAATCAATATAAACTTACACTAAATTAAATACAATATATTTTTTCTATATATAAAATTGTATTAATTAAAAATCCCAGACTGTCATGGAAGAATGACATAAAGAAAATATCATATCTTTATATCTTATTTAGGTCACTAATCAAATTGGTGACACTGACCATATTAAAACATGATCATCAGTTCTACACAAACTTGTGGAGTTCATGCCAGTTTTAAATTAGACAAGCAGACAAAAAATAGAATAATTTTCACTAGTGGTCTTAAACTTTTGGCCCTCACTTATGTATATCTTGTCCAGTTAGTTTAGATACATTCATTATACAAACTTTTTGAGCTCGCTTTGAAGCTACAACTTTCAATTTAATATCCAACAGTGACCAAAGTTGCAATTAGATGCCAGAGGCTTAGCTGACGCTCAGCATTTCCAGAGAGCAGAGAGAAACGTATTTAATAAACAGACAACTCACCTTCCCCCAGAGTCTGTTTCAGCAGGTCATGCTTGGCCTGCAGCTTAATGATGAGGTTACTGCCGTTCAGGTACTCCTTGAATTTCTGCGACACAGATGAAGGCATCAGTGAGCTAATGATTTTAATAGGATGAGACTAAAACAGGGGAGTGATGTGTGCTGTGGGCAACAAAGAACAGATTTTGCTGTACTTTGCACGCCGCAAATTCAATCTGTTCCAATAGGAGGATTTAATTTCCGTCTCATTGGTGAGGCATGGGCCTTGTCACGAATATTTTGCGGATTTGTGCGTGATGACTGAGTTTGGACAGATAGACAGGACAGGTCGAGTAGACTTTGATATCAGTGTTTGCAGACATGATTGTGATGAGAACCATGTATTAAAAGATTTACTGATAGTCCACAGAACCTGAGGACCTGGAATTCATCTTTATTTATTTATTTTTAAATCATTATAAATGGAAGATGCCAGGTTTTGCCATTTTATGTCCAAAATAACTAGGAGCGTCAATCGAATAAAAATTGAATTCATTTCATATGCTGATTAATAAATAAATTTTATATACCATTCACAAAATGTCATGTAAAAATTGACTAAAAATAATAACAGTACTTGTGGTCCCAGTGCTTACGGTTTGAGAAAATACAGGCACTCACAGTGAAGTAGAAGACTTCCGTCTCCTGCTGATTGGCTCGTCTCTTAGCAATGTTTAATTTGCTCATGTAATTCTCAGAAGCCACTGATTTGATGGACTCCGTGGATCGGCTGTGCTGGAAGGCATCTGAAACATCAAAGTCCTCCACTGTCAGCATGTCTTGTAAGGTCTGCATGGTGGCATCCAGGGTCTTGCGCACCTAATTAAATATAGCAGGGACTCAGTAAGGTGAAAGAGAGAGGAGTATGAACTTAGGGAATATAAGTTATGTAAGATTTACACTACCGATCAAAGTTTAGGGTCAGTAGGAGCAATTTTAAAAGAAATGTATACTTTCTTTTAGCAAGGATTCATTAAATAGATCAAAAGTCACAGTACAGAATGAATGTTGTTCTTTTGAATTGTCTTTCAATTGAATTGTTTTTTTGTTTTGTTTTTAAATCACGGTTTTCACAAAAATATTAAGCAGCATGCATGTCAACATTCATACTAAAATGAAAATTTTCTTGAGAACCAAATCAGCATATAAGAATGATTTTGGAAAGATCATGTGACACTGAAAACTGGTTGCTAATAATGGTTTCTAAAAATTCAGCTTTTCCATTACATTTTAAAATATATTTAAATATAAAGCAGCTATTTTAAATTGTAATATCATTTCATAATATTACAGTTTTTACTGTTTTTGGTGCCAAGCATAGAAGACTTATACCGACCCAAAACCTTTGAACAGTAGTGAATATTTCTAGACATCTGACAGTGACCTAACTTAAAGGGAAGTTGGCATTTGTTGAAATTGTGAGAATGACTTGTGTTAGTCTTAGAAGCATCAGTTAGAATAAGTTAAAATTTACACCCAAATCGGTAATGATTCACACCATATGCCATCTTTCAAGTGTATTCATGAAGTAATACATGACAATCTGTTTCTGTCTCAGAGTAAAAAATAAAAAGGCAGTTACGACAGTCTAAAATAGGAAAGGAAGAGATAAAAATAATTTTTTTTTTCCTAAAGTGGAAACTGGCTTCCATAATTATATTACACATTTATTTTGTATATACACTAAATATTGTTTTAAAAAAAAAAATTTAACACACACACACACACACTGGTTTCCATTTTTTTGTGGGGACTCTCCATAGGCGTAATGGTTTTTATACTGTTTTATACTGTTCTATCGCCCTACACCAACTCTCCACCTAAACCTACCCCTCACAGGAAACGTTCTGCTCTTTCAGGTTTTCAATGCACTCCATTCTCTGTGATTTATAAGCTTGTTTCCTCATGGAGACCAAAAAAATGTCCCCACACGGTCAAAATGTACTGGTATTACTATACTTGTGGACAGTGTTGGGGAAAGTTACTTTTAAAAGTAATGCATTGCAATATTGCGTTACTCCATTAAAAAAGTAACTAATTACGTTACTTAGTTACTTTTTATGGAAAGTAATGCGTTAGGTTAATTTTGCGTTACTTTTTACAGGGCTTGCTTGTTTGTTTTTAAAATAAAAAAAGTTCTATTTTTGGCAAATATAAAAGCCTTTTCACACCAGAAGTGAAATGAATAAGCCTCAGGCTGAAGGGAAAGTACATTTATGTCCGTAAAGTAGAACGCAGAAGAAGACATTTCAACACACTTCAGCAATAAACAAAGACACACAAATGTTTGTCTAGAGTAATTTGTGCTTATTAGTATGGTTGAACTGGATCATCGAAGGTCAGAAGCAAAGACATTGGTTAACAGAATGGGATTAAATACATAAATTATATTTGTGTTGTTTAACATTTAATTATTGCAGGTTTGCGTGAGTTGCATTATTTTTATTCATTTTGAGGAATACTGAATCTGTTTTTTTGTGTGTGAGTGAGATGAATTAATGCATATTCATATTTATTTTAGAACTACAGTAACATATTCTGATTTCTGTCACCATGGCAACACCAGAGCTGTCAGTCAATAAATTGGAAACAAAAGTAACTTGCGTTACTTATTTGAAAAAGTAACTCAGATATTCTCTTGTAAATTAAAAAGTAATGCGTTACTTTACTAGTTACTTGAAAAAAGTAATCTGATTACGTAACTCACGTTACTTGTAATGCGTTACCCCCAACACTGCTTGTGGGGACATTTGGTCCCCAAAACGTGATGAATACCAGGTACACACACACACACACACACACACACACACACACACAAAAATGATGTTAAAATGTATATGTGGAATTTACTGTGGGCACTTTTATAATACTTTAAAAACAACATTTTCTGTGCACAGTATATTTGAAAAAAGCACTTATTGTTTGCAATAACAGGTATGCGCCTCTGTGATATATTCAAACCCACAATATGAGCTTAAGAATATTGAGAGACTGAAAAAATTTATTAAACTTCCAAATAAAAGTATTTGTGTTGTACACTAGTTCAGAAAACAAATCACCAGAAGAAAAAAAGTGTAAAATGAGCTTCAACTACCATCTATGTGTCACTATGATACATTTACGGCCACAGTCTTAAATGTGTTCCTGCTTACTTGAATGCTTATGCAGGTAAAGTTATTAAAATGAGCAATAAAGAAAAGATCTCAACCTATTTCACCTATTTTGAAGATAACCAACGCAGCCAAGCCACAGGTGATATTTTTATATATACTGTAGTGCTGTATGCAGCTCTGAAACTTACTAAACCTCTATACTGGTGCATTTGACCCTGGGACTATAGATCACTCACACCAACGTATAAAATCAAGGATTGTCTGAATGCTGTAGTGACTGGTGTGTAAATTGGCCCCAGGCCCTCAGATTAATGTGGCACATTTCCTATATGACACAAAATCATCAATTACTAGCTTGTTATGAGACACAAAGTGATTAGGGCGAGATGAAATCATCAATACGCACAGACGGGAGCTATTACAAAGTCCATTAGCACCTGCATACACTTAGTTGATCGGTGAGATGTGTTCTGCTCTCCCAAAACAAAGAATTACCCTCACAAAGACCAAACATGGAGATAACCGTACCATCCCAAAAGATACACACACCATTAACAGATGAGAATGCTAAAAATACACTCTCAGTTCCCAAGAAAGTTGGACTAAATTGCAACGAGTTTGATTGCTAGGCTGAAGTATTCTCTGGAGCGCTTTAAAAATGTTTTTTAAAAAGTATGTGAGTAAAGCCGAGGGCTGTTTGAGTGCTAAGACTCGTGTGTGAGAGGCAGTTGGGCTCTCTGCAGAGTGATGACTCACACTAAAGATGCTGATGTATCTTTACACTGAGCAGGTGTAAATAAAACTCAACCGTTTCCAAAGCATGTGGTTGGAAGAGAGGGATCTGTATAGCATACAGATCTGATGTTAAAGTCAACAGGAAACAGAGTTTGCAACCTATTTAACTTCTATAACATGACATTGTGCTTGAAGTGGAAAGATCAAAATTTTCACTTGCAAATTCCATTCATTACAATAGGAATCCATGTTTTCAGGAATTTCACATGTGTGAGAAAGACTTCCACACACAGATTTCGCAACGGGTTCAGGTTGGTCACACAAATTTGCTGCATTGACCATCAGAAAGCCTTTTTTCACCAAAATTTGTGAAAATGTGACATGAACCGATGAATCAAGATCGCCAATGAAAGATCGTCTCAAGATTAGTTTAATCTTATGTTTTACCTTGTAGTTTGTTCTAGCAAAGAGCTAGACAGGGTCATCTGACTGACACTGTAAATCAACTAGTTCTTTTATATGTTTGGTTTAAATCTGACATACTACAATCTGACTAACTTTGAGAACAAAGTAGATTATACAGCTGCACTCTAACAAGCTCTGAATATCTCTCAATATTCAAAGCCTTGAACCACAAAAACTGTGAATCAAACAACTAGATCTTTCACTGAAGCATTCAGTGCAGCTGCTTGGTGACTTATCGGTAAAGTTACCATAACGTAACTTTGTTTCCCAGCACACTGATAAAGACCTGCACACTCTGACTTTTTGGAAATTGGATAAAACCAGTCAATCAGATGGGAGCTAGCGATTATTTTAGTTTGCAATATGCATCACAGTCAGTGAATGGTTTTTGGTTGTGGCGTGTAACAATGGCCATGATAAAATGTTGCATGTAGTAACTGTGATGATTCTTACCTCCTCATTCTCAATCTTGAGCGTGGCCAAGCGGGACTGCAGCTGGTGGTAACGCATCAGAAGTTCAGTCTGGACTGGCTGCTGGGCACTCACCTGGCACACCTGAGACACACAAAAACAAAACACAAAGCAGTTTATCTCTGTCATGATCAGTGCTCTACATTGTGCTCCACATGAGAAAGTCATAAAGTTTGGAGCGACTTGAGGGTGAGTAAATAATAACAGAATTTTAGGGGGGGGGGTGAAATGTTCCAATAATAAGATATTATTGGGTAAGTTGAAGGCTAGATACCTCATCTCCCATGTGCGGCAGAAACTCAAAGCGCATGGGTGGGCAAAAGACCTGATTGTACATGTCCATGATCTTGTGCTTGTCGCTACGAGGGTCCAGGTTGTCCACAGCGTTCTCAATGATATCCAGTCCCTCATGGCGAGAGGTCTCCAGGTTGTACTCCGCAGACAGATATGTCCTTAATGTGCGTGCCAAGCTAGCATGATACCCGAGGTCACAGCACTGTAGAAAGAAGAAAAATGAAGGATGAGAGATAAAATATCTCACAGCAAGCGGACACAATTTAGATGGACACAAATCCAATCTTTCTTTCTGCGAAGACAGTATAAATGAAATTTTATTTGTCAAAATGTTTCCATGGTGATGCCTATTTTTAGCAGTCATGAGATTTCACATTTCACTCTAACAGGACGAACTGTAAGACAGGTAGCATCTCTTGTGTCTCCGTGGATCGCAGTGCCATTAAAATGACATGATCTAAATTAGTGAATTTCATCTAGCGGAGAATCGAGATCGTCAGTATATATAATTAGAAGAACAAGCGCAGTGGGATATCTTAGCTAATTAGTTTAAACGTGCAACAAATGTGCGACTAACCTCTTTCAGCAATGTGGAGCAAGTTTAAATTTGCTAGAGGGAAACTTTAAACCTCTATGAGTCATTGCGACAAGGCAGTTATCGCTCTATTGGACTGTAAAACCATATATTATGCTTTAAAGGGTTTGAGTGCAAACACTAGACGGTCATAGCCTGTGGCACAATCTATTTAGCATTACAAAGCCACAGGAGAGGAGGTGTACAATGGTAAAAAAAATATAGCACAGTAATACTGCCAAGTTTAGATTCTGTATTTACACATTTTTGGCCCAATAACAGCACTGGTTCAAATTCTCAGCATTTTCTAATAATAACAAATCATTAGAAGTAAATCCATACTATTTAAAATTATCCATTAGTCCAATTAGTCCATTGGTAATACTGAAACCACTGTTTGCCCTAAGACAAACATACTTCAAAAGCAGAAAACCACTGCTTAACTTCTACTGTGCATTGGGGTTAGCAAGGGTTGCCATGACCAAATTGTTTGAATAAACCTGTTTACCTTCGGTTCACTGTCAGTTTCTCTGAAAACTATCAAACATGACAGACCTTCCCTACTTCTGACCCTGCACTCTTAAAAGTAAAATGATTTTCTTACAGAGAATTATTTTTAACTGTATGGTTGTAGACTTGGAATTGAAAAAAAAATGGGATGTTCAAAAGTAAAAAAACAAAAGGAAAATTTATTTCTTCTGTTGAACAAAAAAGCAGATATTTTTTGGTCCATACAATGAAAGTCACCGGTGTTTAATGTAGTTTTGTACCAAATGATTTATAAATATATTCTCTGTGTTCACCAGAGAAACAAAATGATGACATTGTAAGAGATGATAAATGATAACAAAACATATTTGGGGTGAACTATTCCTTTAAAAGAGGAAATGCAAAGCCTTCCTAGTTTCTTTAAAGCACCAGTACCATGGGTTGTGGCACTTCTGATTTTTTGGAACAGATATAGCAAACCGTAAATTCCTGGTACAAGGTAACCTGGCATCCTACTGTAATTCACCACGGCAGGCCACAAGTACCACATGAATTTATATATACCCAATGATGGGTGTGGGTGTTTTGTGAGTTTTGGTTTGGTTTGGTTTCTACCAATTAGTGGTTTTAAAGGTAAACCTATGTCAACAACCTAACTGAAAGTCCTTTACAGAGTTCTTCCAGCTTCAACCTGTTAACTGTCTTAGGGATTTACATCTGTTTCAATATAAAAAATAAAAAAAATCAGACAGTACAGAAAATGATTGTCCAATGCAACATTCCCTAACAAAACAGTTGCTACAAAGATATGCAAACAGTATGTGACTGGAGTAGTTTGCATAGAGCAATATATCTCGGTTTAAAAGTTATCTATAATGGCTTATGTTTCCTTTTCGCCTTTTTGCTGTTATCAGGAAGTACAAGTGTGTGTGGTTTTATGTTTTCTTAAATTGCTTCAGGATATCAGGGCGTACTGATGGACAGCAATATGACACTCTGCATCTCTCAGCAAAAATCACAGAGGTTCGGTTTATTTACAGTGTGCGTACTAATGCTAACACGACAGAGACAGCAGAGACGAGCCAGCAGGGGAAATATTTCAGTATACTTCACATCACCGATCCAGTCTCAGCAGATTTTTGATAGGATGATACCCATGCGACTGACAGCCTTTTGTTGTATATGCAACAATATTTTGTGAATTAAATGCATTAAAAGGGTTTATGTGCAATTAAGCTAGTAATTCCATTTTCTTGTTATAAATCTGACAAAAATCATTCTGGTTTGGCAGAATAATAGTTTTAATCTTTCATTGTGAAGCCGAATGAAGCTGCAAAACAGATTAGAAGGTAACAGTAATGGTGATTAATAATTCAATAAAAACACAAATACCAGAGGGAGAGGGGAATAAAATCACAGTACAAATCCAATTCACTAAAAATTACATTCTAGCAAAGGCAAAGCAAACATTTAGAGAAACGAAATGAGGCAAACCATATTAACAAGGAGACAATTCACCCGCAATGCAAAGAGAAACAGATGGAGCCGAGCCATCATCAGTTCAACTGTTTAAATCACAGCTGATACACACAAACAAACGCATGCCTCATTGTGCATACTCACATCAATCATATCCGAAACATCGTGGATGTAATATTTCGCCACGACAGCGTTGGTGGCTGCCAGATTCAATAAATAGTCATTGCGGGCTTTTGTGCATTTCAGTTTGTTCTCGGAGTACTTGGCTTGCCTCTGGAAAAGGGAAACAAAATGGAGAAGAAATCAGTTAATATAAAAAAATAGCTGGTTCACTGATAGAGGCGATTGGGTCATGATGTAACACTATATGTTCACACAATATCAACTTGACCTTGATTTAAGAGGAATGTCTTTGCTTGAAATATATAACATTATCTCAAGTTAAAAAAGTCAATTAAAGTCAATTAAAAACTTAATGTGTTTTTAGCCTTTAACAATTCATGACACAAGAAAAACATACTTTTAAAGGCAATGTACAACATCAGACCATTTTTATAGCCTACAGAACTTTTTTTTATAAAATAATTTAAAACATAACACATCACTTGCCCCAGCACCAATGTGACAACTTGCCCCAACCTGATATTTATGAAAAATATGCTTGTTGTGAGAACACTGTGCAGTATCTGGGGTTAAATTTACATTCACAAAGGCAATTTATTGGGGCTATTATAAAAGTATGATGAATTTTACATTTTCTATTCTTTTATTCTAATTTGGAGGACAGACTTCGCAAAACATCATTGTGTTTGAAATCAATATATAAAACCACTTTTGACTGATTACTTTTTACATGTACTATTAAGTATTTGGCAGACACTTTCATCCAAAGTGACTTACATAGCATCCATGGTATACATTTTATCAGACTTGCTTTACCTGGGAGTCGAACCCATGACCTTGGGGATGCTAGCACCATGCTCTACTGTTTGAGCTACAGAAAATCTTACTGAGATATAAGCCTTGTGACAACTTTCCCTTTAGGAAACCATACAGGTCTACATATAAAAAATTATTACCACATAGTTTATTCAAAGACATAACAGAACATATATTTTGGAGTGTACCGAGATAGTAATTCACACTTCACTTAAACAAAGTCTTTAAAAAAAAAAAAAAAGTAAAGTATTCCATACATGAATTCAATATGTGAATAGATCTGAAACATTTAGGTTTATGTAAATTGCACAGAACAACAAACTGATAATTTAAAAAATGTAAATTCGGAGAGCATGAATAATAATATATATCATATGAGAGTTCTCTGTGAATTGAAACAAGACACAGAGACTGAGTCTCATCTGCTTGTGAGCTCCAGCTGGGTCCTGCTGAATTTTTCATCAAAAAGCTTGAGCACTCAAAGCAGACATCTGCTCTAGTATCATTAATAACAGCTGACTGCTACATAATTGTATTGACAAAACAAAATCCTTAAATGAAGAACAAACACCAGTGATTAGAACATTTAAGTTCAAACGCTTGAATACTGATCAAATGAGTTGAGTTCGATGTCGATTAAACGATCACTGTTATAAAAAGCAAGTATGACGGGAACAATATATAAGCTGACCATTATTTAAACGTATCCAAATAGTCGCAGTTCCTTTTGACTTTCATTGTGTTTTTTTGTCAGGGGGAACCAATGGGAATGGGAACCGAAACTGTTTGGTTAACAACATTCTTCAAAATATCCTCCATTACGATCCACAGAAGAAAAAAAAGTCATTCAGGTTTGAAATAGGCATTATGGTGAGTACATGATAACAATTTTCATTTTTGGGTGGACAAATCATAGTTTTTGCAGCACAAATCATAGTTCAAATTAGACCTTTTAATCATTGTGCCACAGAATCACAGTGATTAGCTTGGCTTGAATTACAGCAGCCTCTTTCAAAGTTTAAAGATTACCAGCATATAAACTGAATAAATGATGCAGTGTATTTTTTTGTCACCCTTATTACTTTTGTAATATTCACACATTTAATCTAAAATTAGGGCTGCACAATTATGACAAAATTCATAATTGTCATTTATTCCAATCTACTGTTCAAATTGAATACAATTGGAAGTGCAATTCAAAATGTATTTTCACATGATCAAACACATTAGTAGCTGATAGTCCATTAAGGCTTGCAGGTGTGCCAGGATCACGTCGAAGTCTGCTCGCCTGCAGAATCAGGTCAGGCTGCAGAGAAACACAGAGCATCCATGGCTACCATGGTTATAAATAGTGTGAGGCTGAGTGGCTTTCATGCCAACATCTCTACGCATTGCAGCCTGAAAGGGGAGGAAGGGAGAGAGAGAGAGAGAGAGAGAGAGAGAGAGAGAGAGAGAGAGAGAGAGAACAGCAGAGAGAGAAAGAAAGCGACACAAAGAGCAAAAGTGAGCGAGTGTGCAAGCTGGCTAGTAAAGGAATCAAAATTCATTCACATGAAAACTGCCTCGTGCGAAAAGCACAATATTCGCAAATGTTAATTTATTGAATTTTTTGTATGGTCCCACAGTCAATATGAGTTAGCTTCCTGTAAGTTTATAGAACCAGCTATGAATTAGCATGAATTAGATGATTTGAATCTGGTCTGTGTGAGTAGTCAGCCATTCAGTCTCCAGACTGTCTACAGTCTCACTGACCTCATTGTCCATTCTTAGATAAAGCTCAGCCTACATTCATTTTTATAAACCCATCCATCAGGTTCATTCAAACCTAAGTGCCTGCACTGCTTTTAAGAGCCGTTGAGAAGGTAACTAGGAAGAAGGCAGGGTTGCTACTAGGTTGCTACTGGGGGGGGAGGGGAATTCCCCCCCCCCCCTAGTAGCAACCTAGTAGCTACTGGGGGGAATCAAATTTTTTTTTTATAAAATTAAAATTATAAATATAATTGGGATTTTTCCTAATAAAAATTGGGTTTAAGATTTAAAATGTGATTTTAAAAAACAATTACAGTAATAGTAGCTATAAGTAACTATAGTAATAAGCAGATTATTATTATTATTATTAAATAACTGAAAATCTGAATTATTACTATTGTAATATTTCACAGGAACAAAATGAGTATTTAAGGGGAAAATAATACAATTATTATTGGTGTTGTTATGTATAATTTTCTTAACTTTTAAAATATAATAATAATAATACATACAAATATTAAACACAACACTACTGTAATATTTGATTACACTGTAAAAAAAATAATAAATTATATAAGAAAAATATATATTTTTTACAGTACAATAAGTTTTAAATGAAGCTTATTTCAAAGGAAAAACGCAGGAATGCTCTTAAAGCTTCTCATTTTTTGAAAAAATACTATTTATAAGCACTTCTCATTACAAGTTTGGGAATATGGTTGGCATATATCGCATTTATGAATACATATATTATAAGCAACCCAAACTTGGAGCACTTGAAGAGATGAGTTTGTATTGAACAGCATTTACTGTCAATCAAAACTCAGGGTTTGCATTCGGAAGTGTTCTGGTTTGATCCTCACAAAGAGGCGTCACCAATGTGCTTTTGAGCACTTAACCAAGAACAAGGGCACTTAACTCAAGGTTCCTCCATGGGGATTGTCTGATAAGAGTACTGAAAGTAGCTTTGGATAAAAAAGACAATTGGTCATGATGATGCAATATTGGCTTTCACTTCCTTCCACGGTGGCTTTCGAAGGAAGTCAAGGAGAGACAAAGGGCCAGCTTTATCCTCCATTGTGCACAGATAATATACACCACTTGAAATAACAATCTTTCTCTTAAAGGGTCACAATCCTACTTGAGAGTGTTGGGAGACGGATTGAATGTGATTCTAGGCTGCAACGGCCCTTTGGTTTAATAAAAGCAGGGTGGCATTATGAGTCACTCTGCCGAGCATTATGAGCCCGGCGGCTAGCTCACCAGAGTTATCTCACCTTCTCCTTCATCTTCTCAATCTTCCTGACCGAGCTGCGGCGCTGGGGTCTGTCCTCGTGGCGCAGGAGGTTGACATTGAGGTCTCCAGATTTGCTAAACTGCTTCTCTTCTTGTTTCTCGGCCTCCTTCAGTTTGCTTTCTGCACTGATGCTCTCCGTGTGGTACATGTGATACGTCTTCATCACCTGTAGGATGATATAAAACACTATGAAAACTAGTCTAACAGCGTCACACCAGGCGGGTTGTAATAAAATCTCTGCCACGTGGGTTTTTGTCCTAACTAGCTGTGAAAACATGTTGATATTTTGCAGGTAGTTTGTTTAACATTTCTCCTGTGTTTCACTTGGTAAGCCCCGCCCACTCCAAAATCTCATTGGTCCGAAATCCTGCTTAACAGAAGTGCCATTTAAAAGAAAAAATTCTCTCAGTGATTGTTTTTAAAACATTTTGAACAAGCCAATAATAAATTGCAAAAAAAAGTAATTGACACTTTTATTTCCGCAAGGATGCATTAAATTGATAAAAAGTGACAATAAAAACATTTATAATGCTACAAAAAATTTGTATAAACTTTTTGTTATTCAAAGAACCTTGAAGACTGGAGTAATTGAGTTTTTACTGTATTTCTGATCACATAAACAGAGCCTTGGAGGAGAGTATTAACTTTGCACATTAAACCGGGACAGAAGAAAGTAACAAACACTAAAAAAGCTTATACACTTCCAGTGTATGTGGGATAAAATCCTAAATTATCCTAGAATGCTTCCAATTTTCATAAAAATGTAAATGAGAATATGTACAGCAGAAACAACCCAAGGCTTTAAATGTCAAACAACAAAATGAAACATTTCATAAATGTTATTCTCACATTTACTCAAAATGAAGACATCCATGGTTTTCCTTGGTGATACAAAACAACTCAATCCTGACACTTTCTTGAAGTGATCTCCAAACTAGTTTAATTCCAGAGAAGCTGCGCAGGTCTCGGTTGAGAAGGATCAGTTGTATTCCCGTCAGCTCTACAGAGCAGATCACCTCATGAATATACATAGGAGTATGGACTTGGCAGCAGAAGTACCATAATCCTGCCTCTTTCCACCAGCGTGTATGAAACACAAAGCTGATTCAAACAAACAGCTTTCAGCTTTGCTGACTCCGACGACGGAGCTCTCTGTGTGACTGAGGTGTTTGCAACGATGCAAACTGTTTTACCTCATGTCTGATTGGTGTGACCCAGTCTGCTATTCAACCCCATTAATATCCTCTCTGCTCAAACAATAGAGCAGAGCAAGTGAAAGGGGAGGGGGGTCCTCTGCACCACTGCCCGGCTTTATTCCGCTCCTTATAGCCGGCAGATGCCTGTCTGATGGTGTTTTCAATAAAAGGCTTATTAAATCAGCCAGCCTGCAGGGGTCCACTGACTGCTCATCTGCACCGACCCTGACATTAATGTACATACACTCAGCTATTTCACTCTAACTTTACACCCACAGATCATCTGATCATTCTAGAGGAGGTCATCAAGTGCGTCCGCACGATGGCACTGTGCATGCTTTTAGTGCTGCTTCCTGTGATTTAATGTGTCTGCGCTACTACAATATGAAATTAAATGAAATGGCAAAAATAATTGTCTGTGACCAGGTTGTTTGGACAAAGAGCTAGTCCTGTCTCAAATTTACAGCATTGAAAGTTAACATACAAAACCACTCAAACAAGCACCACAGAGCCACTGTCACGAATCCGGTCAACGAACTTTCCTATTCATTGACTCTCGCACTACACACTGTTGCACATCACCCCGGACTACATTTCCCATCATGCATTGCACTGATTGCACTCAGCACGAATTGCACACCCCTGTTTACACTGATTGCACCCAGCTGTTTCATATCACTCCCTCACTATTTAACACTCACTCTGATCCCTTCCCTCTGCCGAGTATTGTTTCAGCGTTTATCACTCTCCTAGAGATAGCTACCTTACGGAGCCCTTGTCATTGCCTTAGCCCTAGTCATTAGCCTTAGCCTTAGCCCTAGTCATTTGCCTTAGTCATTAGCCTTAGCCCTAGCCTAGCAGTTTTCCCGGTTTCTGATCTTCGCCTGGTTTCCTGGATTTCTCCCTTAGTCTTGCTCCTTCTGACTCTGTCTGCCCATCGTCGACCCACGCTAGCCCTAGGACTGTTCTTGTGTCTTGCCCACCATATACCTGTCTGCCTCTGTTTGACCCTGCCTGCTTCATGACCACGTCTCTGTCTTCTCCACAATAAAGCCTTGCAGATGGATCCGCACGTCTCACGTCTCGTCAGCTCTGTAACAGCCACAGTGTTTACACCTTTTGTGGAGGTTAACCTATAAATGGCTTACTGAAAAGAAATGTTTATCTAAAACTTCTGGCATTATTTATAATATTCTGACACCCTGATGTCATTCACAACCTATAAAATGTTATTTCTTTCAAGGAACACAAGTCTTGTGAATGATTTACTAATTAGGAGTGTATCAATAAAAAAATGCAAATTCAATGCATAATTTACTGAATTTAATAACTGATTAAAACAACTATAATGATGAACAATTGTGTAAATGTATTACCCAAAAATACAATTTCAGAGCATCAAAAATGAACTGTACCAAAATAAATCATAAAATCAATAAAGAATCAAAGTCTGAGCAAATGTTTCCATTCTTTTTACTTACAATCTTATGGATGTACAGTACATAAACTTGGATAGAAGAAAATATTTGACAAAAGTTACCTTTTAGCAATATGACATACACTATTTTTCAAAGGTTTTGTGGCTTGTGACATTTTTTAAATGAATTTAAAATAAGTGTCTTGTGCTCACCAAGGCTGCATTTATTTAAACAAAAACAGAAACAGTAATATTGTGAAGCATTACAATTTAAAACAGCTGCTTTCTTTTTTTAGTATATTGTAAAAATGCAATTTATTCCTGTGATGGCCAACTTAAATTTTCAGCAGCCATTTCTCCAGACTTCAGTGTCATATGATCCTTTGGAAATCACTCTAATATGCTGATTTGGTGCTCAAGAAACATTTCTTTTAATGATCAATGTTGAAAACAGTTTTGTGGCTTAATATTTTTGTGGAAACAATGATACTTTTTTCAATATTATTTGATGAGTAGAAACTTTTAAACGGTATTTTATGTAAAATGAATACCTTTATGAAAAAGATCAACTGTACCATAAAAATTTACTATTTTAGTCACAAATACTTCAAAATATTGACATGCACAAGATGAAGCCATGCTAAATTCAATACACCTACACCATCAGCCTTGTTCTTCGAACTAATATAACATGTTCCAGTCATTAAACGCTACACAGGATCCAGGCCCTAGTATTCCCTGATGGAAAAAGCGGTTTCCTCAAGCTCATTAGGAAGAGGATGCAAAGGATGTTTCTCAGAGAATTGCAAGCTGTGTCTGGCTCCAGGACAGATCACCAGCTCTTTTAACAGGGTCTAGTAAACATAGATTCTTAGATGGTGTACTCACATGCGGTTGTGTAAATGATGTAGCCATTACAAGGTTGATGGAGGGCAAAATGTGGTGCTAGAATCTGTAGTATGCATGTTTGAAGAAACCATTAAAACCGCCTTCTATGCAGCATGCTACGTTTATGCAGAGGTGTAAAGAGTAGCTAAAAACCATACTCAAGTAAAAGTACAGACACCTTACAATGAAGATTACTTCACTACACGTTGCAAGTCACCAATTCCAAAACAACTTGAGTAAAAGTCTTAGAGTATTTGATTTTAACAGTACTTAAGTATTTTACTTATACTAAACATAGGCTCAAAGATGCACTAGTCAAAGATACATGCCAGTGATAAACTGTAACGTTGTGGAGAAGCTGTTGAAAACAGGCAGAGGCAAGGATCTATGTGCTGGTATTTAATGAAAAAACTAGAACAAACAATAAGCCAAAAACCAAAGGGAACAAAGAACAGCATGGCTGGCAAACAGACAACCATTACATTCAACAACTCACAAGGAACTAAAGAAAACACTAGGGCTATATATACACAGGGGCTAACAAGCTTAACAAGATAAGACACACCTTGGGAGACTAATCAAGGGGAACCAATGAAACAAACGGACTACAAACTGACTACAAACACCACGAGAGACAGGAAGTGACATAAATGTCCAGGGCAAGGCACAGAGAGCATGAAAGACAAACTAGAAAGAGTTGATTTGTGAGGAGAGCAATCGCGTTTATTTTCTAAAACCAAAATAAAACTGAACACCTCAAAATTACAAAACAAACAAAAACTATATCTTTCAAAAAGGTCTCTTCAATATAATGGATAAATAAAATAATAAAGTAAAATTAAAAAGCCGAAGCCTTCTTGCAGTGGCTGTGCTGGTTTGGGCCTCATGTCCTCATCTCATATATAAAATACCTCTGATTCGCAAATACTTGCTAAGGAACTCGTATTCACAGAAAGTAGCCTTGTTGACAAGTTTGGGTGAGTAAGGGCAAAACGCACAAGATCTAGGACTATCTGTGCCCTGTAGTAGACAGAATCACATCTTTTGTAGCAGAAAGAAACTGCTGCAGAAAAAGCTAGGTCCATGCAAAATGTAATGTGTAACTGCAAAACTCATTTCAAATGTAGTGGAGTAAAGAGTACAGATACTCATTCAATAATGTAGTGAAGTAGAGAGTAAAAGTTGCTAATATCTTTGATACTCAGTACAACTACAAAGTATCTGAAAAGATACTCAAGTACAGTAACTAATTACATTTACTCCAATACTTTACACCTCTGCGTTTATGTCAAATATTATGATGTGCTAGTCTAAAATATTACAAACAAACCTTCAGCACACATCAGCATATATGTAACATAACGCTATAGCATATAGCTTAGAACCGATCATCAGAATTTAATAACATTTTTTATCATTTTCAATGACACAAAACAGGTTAAACTCAATAAGACTGCAACACTCAAATTTACACTTATTCTTAAATCTGCAAGCAGGCTGAAATTGAGAATAAAAATGCTGCACTGGTGAGTAAATGTGACAGGAACTATGTACTCCAGTGCAGGAAAAAATGTAGGTCAGCAGTCAGCTCCTCCCAAAGCTGTCACTCATCAACTCATGCCACTCAAAGAGAACACAGCAAAGGAACATGTTTACAAGCAGGTTTGATGGACATGGCTGGCAAACATCCAACATCAAAATTGTATTTACAGGCATGTTGAGACCTCAGCTGTAAAGAGCAATGCTTAGCCAAAATTGACATTAGATACAGTACTGGGATCTCTTTAAACATGTGTAATTCTGGTATACACCTTCACGTTGCTAATAATTAGAGAAAATATTTAAATCAAATGTAAAAAGGTCTCATACAAATGATTTTAACAGGATTGTAAATTCTGCTCTGCAACAACTCTGATGAAAATGTGTAGCTTGCAAAATAGCCATGTGTAAAACCAGTGTAATTACCACATGTACCTCCATGGATAATGGGTGCATCAAACTAAATATGGTTTCTATAAAAATGTATGGTATGTTTTATGAAAGACAGTAGCTTAAAGCAATTATAAAAATATTTAGCTGTGACTAAATTTCAACAATTATTATATTACTTTTAAGCAAATTCATTAGGACATATTTCACAAAATAAAATAAAATAAAAAATAACAGCTGAGACAAAGTAATCTATTTGCCTTAAAAAAAACACCAGTTTACATTCTCACCATTCTAAGGTTGAAAAACTGACAAAACATTTACTCTCACATCTAGCATCACTGCCTTGAGGTTTTGTGGCCTGGGTTTGTCCGAGAGCTGTGCAATGATATTTTTTCCCCCTTTGCTAAGCCGCATTAGCTCAGTATTTGAGCATTAGCCAGAAACCTTAAACTAACTTGCAATGATTTATATACAACTTCCGTCTCCACAGAAACTGCCCGGAGCACGTCTGCGTGCTTCTGTACTGTGGTACACACCCTAACTGCTACAGTTTCAACTTCTTGAACACTGCAAAAAATTTTGAAACATTCCAGCTAAACTATTTACCTGTAAATCGGCCAACACAGACTGTCTTTTGTAAGACCTTGTGATAGACAAGGACTGGCTAAATGGTCAGCACAGACTCATTCATCACATGAGACTGATGTCTTTAAGACCCTGATGAGTCAGAGGACCATGAGAATGAACGACAATCTTGTTCAGAACATAAAGAACAGATATGAAAGGGCGAACTTTAATTTCTTCAATCAATATATAAAGGTTTCTCTTGTTTACCATACCATAACAGAGGATAGAGCTGCAACCTGGCTGAATAAAATAAACAGCATCCAAGATTTTGAAGGCCTGCAATTCCAGCTTGTCTTTCAAAGTTAAATTACATAAAATTAAGTCACATGTCTATGTCTTTAGGAAGGCGCTCTCAAAGTCAACACCCAATTCTTATGCATAGAAGCATGTGTAATAGAGCTTCAAGTGCAGTCGTGCAAGGGCACTACACTATAGACTCATTTCCTTAAAGCTGAAGAATTTATAATGAGCCATTTTGCCATCATTCAGAAAAAAGATTAATGTTCTAAAATACAATACACAGCCAATATTTCGATGTACTTTAGCTCTCATTTGTTACAAGCCTGTTCCCTGGCAAAAGCTGCTGAGCTTTCACCTTCCACAAACTGTGCGCAAAATTCACAGTACTTTCAATTACAAAAATAATAGCAAACACTACTTTAACTTCTTCAAGATGCATGAATGGAGCTAAAAAGAAATAAATGCTTATTGCAGATTACAAGTCACGCATATAATACAAGACACTACAGGTGAATTTAAAAGTTTAACTACTAGATATCACCATACTTTACAGCTGATTAATCACAGTACATTAAAACAACTGTTTTGTATTAGAATTTTCCTGAAATGTTATATTTAAATACACAAATGAGGCACTTTATGATTAGATATGCACTCATCTGCACACATTTCTAGAACAGAAATCTAAACATTAGATTAAGCCAGGTTCAAAATTCTTGTTTTTTCTTGCTTGTTGTTTTGTTGACATGTAAGGGAGTTAAAGGTTTTACAGAGGGGATTTTAGGTATCTCTTTTTATCACTCCATAAATCAGAACATACTGTCAACAGCTAAAAAAAAAAATCAGGAACAAAATACTACATAAATCAGGCGAATGATATATAAACAAACCACTCTGCACAAACCTTACATTTGGGTGTATATACTGTACTGAAGTGGGGATTTCACTCACTTAGAGAAAACAGCCTTTAAAGATATATTTAATTGATAAGTACAGACGGTAATAGACAATAAACACTTAAATGTGTATTTTGGATGCTTTCTTTCCAGTAGTCTGAAAGATGACAGATATGTCACGGAAGTAAAATAGCACAAAATCTTAAATTTGACCAGTGCATGAAAAAACAGAGGTTTTGCCTGTAGCACATTGCTTTAATACCCAATAAAGAAAATCAAGAACCATTGATCATCCTAAATCACAAACACATTGCAAAACCAATGCAGAAATTTCACATTGCTCACTGGGACTGAACCGAAGCTTTACATTCATATTTCTTACTCTACATTCAGAACACATAACTCAAACCACAGGAAGGGGGCAGAGGGATCAATACTTAAGGCTTCTAGTGCAGGCTCTCTTTCATTTTTATTGTCAAGCTGTATGTCAAGAACAGTTGATCAGAAGCAAGCCACTATGCCACTATCAAGCAGATGTTATATAGGGGTTTGCAAAGTGAGATCAAATTTGTAATATGCTTAACACAGTTTAGCATAATCCTCAGTCTAATGAATCATTTAAATTAGTGGTAAACCTACAACAACCTATCAATATATAGGAAAAGAACAGACACTGACATTTAAAAATGTATTTAAAATATGTATGCTTTTGATTATATACTGTATATATGCATATATATCATCAAAACTGATAAAACTGCACACAGCCTATACTCTACACTCTAATAATACTGTATAATACAAACGCCCACATTTCTGTGTCTACTTAACAGAGAAATTACATACTAAATATTTTGTGGCCACAATGATGCAGAACGTAATAATTTAGCTCTTTCTGCAGGGATTCGGTATCATGACAGGCTGTATTTGAGGAAAAACGAGGAAAGAGGAAGGGTGGCAGGGAAAGGATAATGATCCTCTACCATGTCTTCTCCAGCGATACATTACACTCCCTGTCAGTGACCTTGAAACACATGAGCGTCAGAGCGCCAGATCCAAAAACAACATATGTGTGCGTTTCAACAATTTAAAGGAAGGAACAGTGTCTTCCTGATTCGTAAGCTTCATATCTGTGCTCGTAGGGATTTACGAATGGCTTAGGACTGTGTTTTATAGTTTCAGATCTTTATGTTAGGTTTTGACACAAACATTTACAGCCGTAGTCAAGAGATGACACAACAGGAGAATGATCATATACCGTAGCTAGTTTTATCCAGAGATACGGGTGAGACATTTTACTATGCCACCTGCATAAAGATGCAAATAGGACATCTGGAATAGGTTGAGCAATGGAGAAGAACCTCCCTCTGATGTCCTTTCATGGGTGACAACATTAATCTCATCCTGCTCCTCTGCAGTGGTAGCTTGGGTTTCATCTAGGGAGAAAAACTGAGAAGCCCAAAGAAAGTGTCTGCATCTTGGTTGATGTAAGAGAAACTAAAGCAATGGAATCAAAGAAGGTTTTCGGCTCCTAATGACCCAGATTCTGAAGCATATTAAAATGCAACGTGGAAGTGATTTAAAATGTGACTACTATGAAGCTTAAAAACAGACAACGTCACATGCGTCTCTATCAATCTACTATTTTCCCATCACTAGCACTATCGCGAATAGTACCACTTTTATTATTTCCTCAAAAAAATCCCTTAATTCAGTTTCCCATCTTTTAATAGAAAACTATGTGAAGCAACAGTTTCTTTCTTCTCCAAACTGTTGAGCAGCCAAACTGTTTTTGTTCTTGGCCAGAGAGTCCGCGTTTCCATGGTGCATGGCAGGACACAGCGGGTGAGAGCTCCATTCAGAGGGAGAGCCAGAAAAATAGAGAAGGAAAAATAAAGAGAGAGAGATTGAGAGACATTATACTCACAGTATACAGCTCGTTTGTCACTTTCACCAGCTCCTCATGCATCTGAATGCCAATTTCTTTACTCTGCAACACACACACAAATAAAAAAAATGGGTCACAAATTAATCAAACTCTAAACTCTACATTATAGATTAGAATATATTCAAAAACAACAATAAAAAAGGACAGAAACATCTAGAAACATTAAAACCTCATTTCCTATTTGCTAGACAACTAGTATTACTCATTCAGTTTAGGGCTGCAACAAACAATTATTTTGATAATAGATTAATCTAACGATTATTAGAATGATTAATCGACTAATCGTCGATTATTTCACTGATTAATCAGTAGACATTTATTGATTATTCAGCTTTTGCAGGTAGTTAAAATATTTAGTTATACATATTCTAACAAATAAATTAAGGTAACCACTTCAGATTTTGAAAGTCATATTATGTAATTACAATTATACAATTAATTTATACAAATAAATATATTTGGCACACAAAATGAGATGTCAGAGAAACTCTCTTATTCACCATTTAATTAGCTATATGAAAAAGTAACTGAATGACACATAATTTTGCCTAACATCTCCTTTTGTAAGTCATATGGATAAGAAACAAAATAAAGGTAAGTGATAAGATGCTTTATTTTTTTGATAAACTATTTTATTCACAACATAATCTCTCTTAAAATACCTTATAGGGTAATGATAATGAAAACAGTCCTGAGCTAGATCAAGCTTTGATCTCTGCAAACCAAACTATAACTTAAATTTTTTATAGTTTTTTCCCAGTAATAAAAAGATTTGATCATTAGCTAGCTCCACACTGGAGAGCTGCTTTATAACAGAAAATCAAGTAATGAAAGCGACACTTACTCTGGATTTTCATGTTTAATACTGTAAAGCTGCTTGATTTAAGGCTATCTATTGCACAAAGTACTAACAGGGCTCGCAAAATCACTAGCCCGAAGTCCCGGGGCTATTGTGTTTTCCAGTCGGGCTACCAAAATGTATTACCACTCTGCCCGACAGGCTATCTTAAATGCAGATCTCCCGCGGGTCCTTAAAAATGCCTAAAGTGAGTTGTATCAAACTTAAGGCCATAAAAAGTTTTAAATACGTTAAATGGTATAAGAAATGTCTTAATTATAATTTCATGAGGTCTTACAGTTGGGGACGGAAAGACAAGAGTCACGATACAGCTGGATTAAACTTCAAAAGGTAATGGTGTCATTGAATAAATATGAGCGCTGCACGTTTCAAGTCAAAACGCGGCTCGGATGTCTTTATTTGGATGTATCTGAAGGGAACCAATTGTCCTCAGAAACGTGTCGTGTAATTTGACCTATAATTCCTGATAAAGCAGCGTTTATGAGCGCGGAGCTGCTTTGTGTACAGCCGTTACAGGGGAAACCGCAATATTTCAGCGCTCCTAAAGTGCCACCTCATGGCAGAGAATGAATTTGCATTTCCAACAAGCCTTTCTTGCTGTTTATGGTCAGATCAATGCAAATATCAACTCGTGTTTTTACGCAGCAAACACATGGAGTTGTAAACTATATATATATTTTTTAAAAAGGTATTTTTTTTTAATTGGGCTAGTTAAATAAATTTTCGGGCTACCAAAATCTGAAGAGTACCTGCCCGAAGGGCTACCAGGGATTTTGAAATTTTGCAAGCTCTGACTAAATGCTTGTTCACACCGGGACAAATATCGCGCACGATTATCGCCAACGTTTAACGCCGACGTTTAACACCTCACGAATAAACAAAGGGTGCCAATGTGAGTGTGCACACCAACGCGCAAAAGGCGAGGCGTAAAAGCGTCATTTTTTAAAAAATGCCTCAGGCTCGTTTTTTTTGGTTTGACGCTGGCTGACCAATGAGATTGGCGCTTTTGTTCACGTGCCTGGAGCTGCTGAAGTTACAGTAAAACACAACTTGGTGGCGCTCAAGCACAAAACGGTCTTGCCAAGCACACATTGATACCTAACGACGAAGAGGAAGTAAGTAGACCAAGAAGATGCATCGAGGCAAGATGAATGTAGAGCTGCTGGTCTCATTGGTGTCTGAACACAAATGGCTTTATGACAAACGCGACAGCGACTACAAAAACCTTGATAAGAGGGAGTTGTTATGGAGAGGAATTGCAGAACAAATAGGATTCGACGTGTACCGGGGGATTTCTGTTTTTCATTAAGCGCCATCTAATGTCAGGGTGTGAATTTGCACATTCACTCGGCTCATCGCCTGTGAAAATCGCTTGGGTATGAACACAAAAGACGCGTAGAAAAACGTTGGCGATAAGCACGTGCGATAATCGTCCCGGTGTGTACGAGGCTTTAGTTATATAAATAAATGTGACGTGACTAGACTTTACTGGAGTACTGAACTGCAGAGCTCGTGCAAACATCGCTGTAATCAGATGCGTTCTTAACTGCTGCTTTCACACTGCGGGCAGTTTTTGTTGTGTTTATTTTGTTATTGAGAGGAAAGCGTGCAGCATATATTAACATATTCATCCAAATGCGGCTCAGCAACTTCAGGTTTGGCTGTGTCTTCTCTTGAATTGCATCAGGAGGGCTGAATTACAGTCTTGCGCTACAGCGCCACACTGATAAAACCGCATTATTGCAGGTCCTTAGGTCATATGAGATCAAACGACTACTACTCGACAACAAAAAGATTTGTCGACAGTTTTTTATTGTTGATAATGTCGACTAATCATTTTACTGAACCTGAACCCTAATTTAATTCCATTTATAACTTTACAACCCCATGTTTTTTGATGGTGTCATATTAAAATGTTGTTTTCCCATTTTTATAGACTGGTAATATGTGTCACAAATATCAGCTCCTTTTTATAACCTGCCAAGCATCACAAACATACTTGACCGACATCCAAAATTCAAGCTTACATGGCAAATGAAAGCAATTTTTTTATTTGACTTTTTTACGATTGTGTTTGAAAGTGTTCAGAATAACATACTTTCACACTACTCTAATAGTATGTCTGCAGTAGGCTATGCGGTATACTACAGTAAGAATTTTTTATGAATGGAATATTCAGATGAAATACCTACTACATAAATAAAGCATACTGCACACTATATCCTGAATTTCCATTCCAAGTGAGGCAAATAAACTGAAAGTAATATTAGCTGCAATTTTTTTTACCGTTTTCTTCACAATTCTATTGTTTCAAACAACAATATTTGCTTAAAAATGCAAAATATATATAAAACAAAAACATTAAAAAACTTTTTTTTTCAGCAGCTTGGTTTGACAGAGATGACTATGAGTGAATATTTATGGTTTCAGTACTCGTTGATTGATTTTTGACTGTTTAATTGGATGTTCTATCATCATCAGGCTGGAGGCTTCATGTTTCTCATTGCTATATGGTGACCACACAATATTGCCGTAAAATGACAAAAAGGCTCATGTTTTCAGTCGATCGATAATTTGATACAATGCTTTACAAATAACCTACGCAGCATCATTTCCTGCATTTTTGTAAACAGTGGTTCAGACAGGGACCAGGCTGATTCAGATATTCTGACTGTGACACTGAAAACTGCTTATGCATTCCTGTGGGAAAATAATAATTTAATAATGCTATAAACAAGTTAACGGGAAAGAAGACAACTCTAGACGAGAAAAACATTTTGTATCTCCTCCCACACAGCATAGCTGCTCCTGCTTACATGCACACGTACACACACCTGCTGCCGTGTGCCGAGAAAATGCACTGTGTTTAACTCTAAAGTCAGTGACACAATCTGGCAGAAATTGGAGGGCAAGAACTCCAAAAAAGCTGGAAAATGTTCACTGCAACCACAAGTTTTTTCATTAAGCACAAAAGACAGAGACCGGCCTAGATAGACACATTCAGACACAAAATGCGTCTGGTAAAACTCCCATGCCGACAGAATCTGCAGGTACGAGCAGCAGCACCTTTCCTGTCAACAGTTCAAAAGCTGTGCGTAGGAATGGTGCATTTCTCTGAGGAGAATAAAAAAAAAGGAATCAGATGACAAAACAATACATAATACAAAAAGAAAACAAAACAAAATTATATCAAAAAGCATGTAAACTCATTTTTCTAAAGTGGCATCTGTGCAAGAACAGTGTTGACTGAAACTAAAACTATTAAAAAATTGATTTCGGGAATTGAAATAAAGCTGAAAAAATACTAATATTAGTTGAAAAATGTAAACTTTAAAAAAAAAAAAGTTAGAAATGTTGCCTTGGCAGCTAACTGAAATAAGCAGTACAATTACTAAATCTAACTGAAATAAAAAATAAAACTAACCAGAAATATTGGACAAAACAAAAAAGCACATAACAAAATTACTAATACTGTAATAGTATATAAATAATACTAAAATAACACTACATCACACACTACTGGAATGAAACATTTTGTGATATTTTGATGCAATAGAGAGCTGTCATACTTTAAAAAATAAAGCTTTTGATCCCAGTCTGTTTGAATGAATTACCCCAGTAGCCCTCCAGAGCCCTTTTATGTTCGTAAAGCATAATGGACCATAATTCCCAGCGATCAATAAAGGCTACAGCATGTGTATAGTCAGGCCTGTGCTTAGGGATCAAAAATAATCTCTCGCTACACATGAATGTGTACATACACATACACACTTATCCCTGCAACCAATTTACACATCTAATCATCCATGCTAATGTATTAAGCACCTTACAATATTTCATGTATATGTGTTGATTTTGTTTTTAGGAAACATGTAGACTCAATACAGCACAACATCTGATGAAAGAGATGAAATGCCTGATTGAAAAAATTTTGTCAAGCAAATCATATAAATACATAATCACTGCTCAAGAGACTAAGTACAGAACTACAAAAATACATTTGAAATAATTTGATGAGAAATATTTATATTTAGGGATGTATCAATATTTATATTAAAATTATACTATTATATTATACATTACATAAAAATATTTGAATAAACAATTTCATGTTATTGCAGACAACCGATAAAATGTCCAATATTCCAATTTCCTACTATTTTGTAAATTAAGTAAATTAAAAATAAAAATAAAATTAAGGATTTGCTACAAGTGACTTTATTAGTGTTTTTAAAGGTTCATTATAAGTAGTATTGTTAGTAAATATTAGTTTTTAAACATAAATAAAATAAAAAATAAAATAAAATAAAATGTATATCAATACTAATAAATAAATATATATATAAATAGACAAACAAACAAATAAATAAATAAAAAGTTTTAAACTAATTTAATAATTGCCTTGGTCACATGTTGAGTGAAAAAAACATACATGAAATTATCACCATGGGAAAATTGCATAACAAGACAGGACATTACATCATAATGAGGTGTTCCCTTTTCTTTATCTTCTCACAAACCCACTGCAAATTCATGCTTTTACAGAGCCAAAATAGGCATTATTAAACGGCCCATGGGGATTGAGAATCAGTGTTACAGCATACATCACATTCACAGCAGAGAATATATGGCAACAGCTCTCAGTGGAAACCTCTGATGCAATATTATGAAAGAGCCAAAGCCACTGACACACTGCAGTCTCTTGCCGCTGGTAACACTAGCGTAAGACCGTTCAAAATGCTGTCAAGCTACAGTACATGTTTCCCAGCTGTCTTTGCTGCTCATTCATCCTCATCCGACCCACCAGCGAAGCGTTCTGCTGACCTCAGGTGTACGTTTCTCATCTCTCTGTGTGCTGGAATCCTCTGACATGGACAAAACTGCTGTAAGTGTCTACTAACTGCTACTGAACGTCTTAAACACGCAATTAAAGAAAAAGTTCAAATAAGAGCTTAAGGATGTAAGGAAGGCTATTCATTATCATTCCAGACAGCAGACACATGTTGCTAGACTGGTGATTCTCAACTGTTTTGGTTTTTACACTGGACATCAAGCAGTGATCCAACTGTATAAGAGCACCAAAAGTAATCAAAAATGTCGTTTTATGAACTGTGAATATGTTTTATTGCCACAGTGTTGTAAAGATGATTATAAAATATCAACTTTTTTAAATCGGTTCATTTTAGTGATTCAAAGGCACACTGTACAACACGAGTTGTTCCATTCATGAACAAGTATTGTATTATTGTACATTTGCAGTATTGTATGTTAATTTATGGATACACTCATGAACCTGAGTAGTCAACATGTAGGCTATAGAATGACCATAAAATGAACTGAACTGAACTGACTCTTTTGAGCCAGTCATTTGAATGAATCATTTAAAAAGACTCACGTATTAAAGTGAAGTGTTTATGAGTTTAGATTTTTATAATAATTTTACTAGTCATAACAGTTTGACACTAGAAATGCAATTTAAAGGTTTCTTCATTTTATATCCACATATTAATAATATTTATGATTATTGGTGATAATATTTGTAAAAAATAATTAATGGCATTCATATTATATAAGTTATTTTTGCTCTCTGTATACTAAGAACATTAGCTGAGAGAGAACTTATTTTAAAGCAAAATGGACATTCTAACTGTAAAATGCCAAAAATTTAATTTTGAAAAATTATTGTAACTATATTATATTGTAATCTGAATCAGATAATTAAAAAAAATAGAAGTGAATTGGAATCAAATAACCAAATCTGTAAAGATAAGCAGTCCTGTTTATAAATACGAGCCTGTCACATCACAGCAGCATTCATGCATGCATTCATACAGAGTAAGGTATCTTAGGTGACCTTGAGTACACACACTGCAAGCAATTAACAGTTTCCCAGGGTGCTCTGGGTGTGTTTTATCGGTTCACAGTCACCTCACTGAACCACTTTCCTATGAATGGCGGCTGGAAGCACAGGGCCTCACCTACAGGAAAAGCAACCAGGTGTAAACACACTAGTAGTGTTTGGATTACACCACAGGAATCCAGGCTATGTGTTGACAGTGTTCCAACTCATATAGTCCAGACCCCATAAGTCACACCACAGAGAATACAGCCAGTGGCGGCACTCCTCGCCAAAGTATGACTTTCACTCAGAGAGGATGTGCATAAATAGGCTGTAGTCACACTGTGAGACAGCATGCATTTAGACATGCACATTCATTTTGTCGCATACCATCCATACACACCGTCTGTAAGCATTTAAAATCAGCCTAATATTCCAACAGTACAGCTAAAACAAGAAAGCAGGAGGTAGACGTTGCTGTGCTAAGAAAAATGTCTGCCAAGAAATTGCATGCAAATCTATGAAGTCAACTGGCTGTGTGAAAGAATACATAATGATTTTGGAGTGGGTGTTATGATTTTCCACATTTGGAAAGGTTCAATGTTTCCTATGGAAGATTTGCGACTTTTTAATTGCACAATTCAGACTTTTTTTCTTTTCTGCAATTCCTAGAAAAGTGTGAGATATGAAGTCATAATTGTGAGATATAAACTCAGAAATGTGAGATTTAAATGTGCAATTCTGAGAAAAAAAGTAGGCATTGTGAGATATAAGCTTGCAAATGTGAGAAAAAATCAGAAATGTGAGATAAAAAGTGGCCTTTTTTATTTTGATTCTGTTGTGGAAACAAAAAACACTGAGATGTAAAAAAAAATTAATAAAAAAAATTGCGAGATGTAAACTCATATTTTAGAGAAAAGTCACAATTGTGTGATATAAATTAGGAAATGCAGGAATTCTGAATTTTTTCTCAGAATTGCAAGAAAAAAGCCAGAAATAAAAAGTCAAAATTACATGGCGGAAACAAGCTTTCATAGTCTCCAGTAGGTTTATTGCAAGAAAACATTTTGTGCAGTCCTAAAAGTCACAATAGACCTAAAAAATAAATGACTCATCTTGTTTTCATGGATGTATACAAATGTATACGCAATTGAAATATCCATACAATACTGAATCCCACAATGCAATGCATTTTATCTATTTTTAATCCAATTTTGTATTTAAAAAATGTCTTGGCACTAAAAAGTCTGATCAAATAGTGAATATTAACATAGAGGTTTCTGTTAGCTAAAAGTGGACATGAAATTATCATGGTATTTAAATGGATGTGAGAAGAAAAAGCTTACAGTTAAAGCTACAGACCTTTTTGAAGAGCCGGATGACATCCTCGCTGATCTGAGCCAGGCGAACAATGACATTATTAATGTAGATGTCGTTAAGTGTGGCATGATCTCTGCTTTCTCTTCGTGTCTGGTTCAAAACCAGATACCAGCAGTTTACTGAAGAGAGAAGGTGTTGTTCTTTCCTGGAAGGGCAGAGAAAATTATAATAATGTTAAATACTGTGATAAGTTGGCTTGCTTGCTTTTTTCTTTACTTCCCACTGAAATGTTTGGCTTGTTCTCCAAATAACATTTAATCTTCCCATAATTGTCAGATTGTCAGACGAAATTCACAAAAAGATGAAAGAAGATATTTAGAAAAATTGTTGGTAACCAAACAGTTGACGGTAGCCATTGACTTACATAGTACGGAAAAAAATACTATGGAAGTATTTTTTTTTTCAAAAATATCTTCTTTTGTACACAACAGAAGATAGAACCTCATACAGGTTTGGAACAACTTGAGGGTGAGTAAATAATAACAGAATTTTCATTATTGGGTGAACTATCCCTTTAAGTCTCCAATACCACACATACAGTACTCAGCACCTGACAGTAAACTGATCACTTAATACCTTAACACTGCTAAAAAATAACAACGCCGAGACAGAAATTGTCCTAGCTTGAACTTAATCAGCTTTTGGGACCATAAGCTTGTGTTCTGTGCTAACCCTTCACTTCTTTTCTTAGTCCTATCTTCTAAACCAATCAACAAGCTGAAGAATGGGGAATGCAGAAATAAATAACTGAGAGTTGAGAGTACTGAAAGCCGAGAGATAGCAGGACACAAGGAGCAAAGGCAATTACTTTAGAGAGTAGTTGGACTAAGGGGAGAACATCAAAGTGTGGCCTCTTGCAAGAGTTAGTGAAATGCTAATCGCTGCTAATAAAGAACGTATATCTCCCTGCTACATGTGGTGAACGTTATTAGCCCTGTAATCTGCCCTCAAATGAGGATAAAGAGTAAACAAAGAAGCATATGCCAACCAGAACCCTAATGCTGATTTTTGGGAGCTTGACAACCTTACCCAAAACAAACTAGTATAGCTTAATATATAGAGACATCTGTAAGCAAGTTGATTTCCCCAAAAAATGTAATCTGTTTAAACAACCTGTTTGATTTAATTTGACTTCACACCGAGGTTACTTTTAAAAACACAACTTTATTGAGCAGGAAATCAGCATATTAGAATGATTTCTGAAGGATCATGTGACACTGAAGACTGGAGTAATGATGCTGAAAGTGCATGCAGCTTTGTCATTACAGAAATATTTTTAAATATATTAAAAGAGTAAATGGGTAGTTTGAATTGGAATAATATTTCAGAATTTTACTGAATGATCACCATTATTGATATACTGTGATATTTAAATTCATTTATAAAAAATTCCATGATATTACCCTAATAAAATCAACAAAAAAAAAGTATTACCACGGCATAAGTCCAAGAAACATGGTAAAACAAGGTACAATGCATTTAATTAGTTCCAGCCCTAGAGATCTGTATTTCAAGATTAAAATTTGCTGGTTTGGAAATAATCTGATCCACTGTGCTGTGGATTCTCAGTAAAAATATATGAGAATGTTATATGACTTGCAAAACACAAATGAATAAGTAGCACTGTCTGTCATGCATAGATTCCTCTTAAAAATAAACTTTATATGCAGAAGATATGAACTGCATTTACAAGAATGAGGAAGAGGAAGGAGTGTAATGCAATGTGCCAGATCACACAAATGCCGCAACAAGTCCCACAGAGAGAGCTGAAAGACGAACAGCTCAAAGTGTGGCTGTGCAAAATGATCAAAGATTTTTTTGCCCCTGCTTTTGAAACTGGCAATTGTAGCACTAGGCCATAGGCTAGATCTCTACAATAGATTAGAAATAGCCTTATTTCATCCAAAACTGCGGAAAGACATTCTCTTTTCTTTTATTCTCATTTTCAATTTTTTTCAATATTCAGAAAATAGATCAAAAGCACCGCTCCGACTCTACAATCAAGTCCTGAAAAAAGGATCATATGATTCATAATCACAGTTTTCCAATTGCTTTTTTCAGTGTTCATGGTACATGGTCCACAATCCATACAATGAGCCAAAGATCACATAAAACTCTAAATTTAATTTCAAAGGCTTTGAAACAAGAGTGCAATGCTCTGAGGCTCTCACATACTTGTGTTTTCTTTATGCTATGTGTAATTAAAATGGGTTTGGGTAGAGACAATGAACATCCAGCTAACGTTGGAGATCAAAAACTGGTTGTAAATCTGCTCGTTCCATTTCAAAAAGTAAATACTAAAACATATGGCGAAGTCATGGCCTAATGGTTAGAGAGTCGGACTCATAACCCAAAGGTTGTGGGTTCGAGTCTCGTACCGGCAGGGATTGTAGGTGGGGGAAGTGAATGTACAGCGCTCTCTCCCACCTTCAATACCACGACTAAGGTGCCCTTGAGCAAGGCACCGAACCCCCAACTGCTCCCCGGGCGCCGCAGCATAAATGGCTGCCCACTGCTCCGGGTGTGTGTTCACTGCTGTGTGTGTGCACTTTGGATGGGTAAATGCAGAGCACTAATTCCGAGTATGGGAATTAAGTCACCATACTTGGCCACACGTCACTCACTTATATTATTTTCACAATGCTACTAAAACAGTTCTGTTAAAATTACTGATTCAAAAAGACTCATGAATCAGTCTTCTCATAAGTATGTATGAATAAGTCTAAATCACTCATTATATTCATAATGTTCTCAAAGTACTACAAGAATCATAAATAGAATAGTTAGGAATCAGAATTGTTAGATTCTAACGTCTAAAATGAACAAACTCAAAGACAACAACAAAAGCACAAATCTTTACAGAAACCCTGACCACATGTACAATTTCCTTCCATAAATACAATATGTATCTGCCAATGAAAAGCCATTTTCAGCTTATAAATATATAGTCAGCTGTTTTAACACACAACAGCCGCCTTGGGACAACTATACACCGCACTGTGCTGTGATTGTTTGACAGGAGACAGGGGCTTCTGGAATTTGGTGATATCCTTTTTGTGGGCTGCTGTGACGTTCAAAAACAACTGCAAAAAAAAAGTTTGCTTCAAAAATACCTGTTTTTTTCCAGTATTTAAGCATTTTCTTAAATTAAGTGCATCTGAGTTGAGTGATAGTTCATGGTTTTGTTTTATTGCTGTTTTTTCCCCCATAATTTTTGTTAAGTTGCATGGATTTGTTTAATCATTTAGTACATTTGTAGTAGGACATTCAAAAGCAAACATAACAGTTTTCCACCCTCATGTGTTCCACAGAAGAAAGAAAAACATGAAAGTGAGTAGATGACGACAAAATTTTCATTTTTAGGTAAATTATTCCTACAAATGAAAGCACTTGAAAACTAAAAGATATGTCTCTCATTGTTTCACATCACTCTAGATGCAAAATCTACCAGGTTTACTGCAGTTCCTCACACATAAATACAAACACACATGATAAGCAGCTTCAATCGAGCGCATGGCTGCCATTGATCCACAAAACGGACTGATCCTCAGAGGTTTCCTGTCAGAATGTATATGCATATGTAACATGTACATACATAAAAAAGTGATACGTTTTATGTGTATTATTGTGTCTTTTTTAAAGCTATGCAAGAAATCTAAAGATCTCTAATCCTATGCTAAGAAGCGATAATAAGCAGATCCGTATTGTACTCAAAAACACCCACGCAGAGTATGAGTGGGGTTCAAAATCACTTCACACTTAGCTTCATTATAGCAACACAAGCCATAAAACCCAATCATACAATCACACTCACCGCCTGCCACAATATTCATTCAAGAAAGTGTTTTTTATGTACCAAGCCCGATACAGCTTTATCAAAGAGCTTTTAATCCAGTCTGGGGTGGCTTGCTCAAGCTTATCTCCTGACGGAAAAGCAGAGGAAGGAATCAAGTGCCAAATCAGGAACTGTAGTGGAAACAGAAACGGGTGCACACGCTCCCCAATTCAAATGCATTTTCGCTTTTTAAGTAAGCTTCAATAAATTGCAATTGCACATTTTTCACTGGCCACCAATGTATGATTGCTCCCAGCTGTAGATACATGAGAGCACTGGAAAAGAGAGAGGAGAAAATTTCATCTGAGCACTGAACGGTAGGACAAGGATTAACTCAAAAGCTCATTGCTGATGATTCTGACCTCATTAATCTTACATTATTAGCCATATACAGGGAACCTAAACCAAAAGATCTGAACAGAATGTGTTCGACCAGCCTTGAACGTTTAATTTGGACTCGACTTTAAAGGAATAGTGAATTCTGTCATCTTTTATTCTCCCTCATGTCATTCCAAACCTGTATGACTCTCTTTCTTCTGTCAAGACACACAAGATGACATTTTTGAAGAATATTCTGGCCACTTTTCAATATTTTTTTTATACATAATGAAAGTGAGCGAGGACTGGGTCCGTCAAAATCCAAAACAACAACAAAACATGCTATATATACACATTTCTGTCATGACAACTCTCGGAGGGATTGGCATGGTAATGTACATGACAATGTTCATGTATTTGATCTTGGCGGAATAGATCTGCTACGCTGCTGCTCCTGCGGCAGAGCAAGTACCGAGACTGTGAGCATGTAAGAAATACTGCTGCTGCAAACATAACATACATGAAATAACCCCTATATAGCACAAATGAATCACCTCATAGCAGATCTATACAGGTGGAGCTGGGGAAGGTGGAGGGTTTCTGAAGCACGCTTCAACTGCTACAGCAAGCACTAGTCATATATTTAAATGTTGAGCAGCGAGCTCATTGGCTACTGATACAGGAGAGAACCAATCAGCTGTGCCATGTGATAATGATGTCATTAGGTCAGATTGAGTTAGACCTATAGGACTGAGCCATCTAGAGTTTCATGCCAGAACTCTGTGTGTGTGTGTGTGTGTGTGTGTGTCTGTGTATATATAGGTTTGTGTGAGAAACAGATCAAAACTGAAATCATTATTCATGGAAATCATTTTGTTTCTCACTGGAATTTGTGAATTCAATTTTAAAAAATCAGTCTGCAAGATTTGTGGTTGAATTGGATTGGATCACTACTATTTTCAAATATAACTTGGATTACCCCAGTCACAATT